ACAATGTAAAAGGGTCAATTATATGATATGTGAACTATATCTCAATAATGCTACTTCCAAAAAAATGCTAACAAAAATATTATGGAGATGATATGATTGGCCAGTGAATATTTCATCAGTGTTTTAAATGGGTCTAAAAATGCGTAGGGTTTTTAACAGGAGGAGATGGGAGAGGGAGTGGAACAGAGAAATAGAAGGATATTTCAGGTGAAGAAGTTTGGACATTAGTTTGGGTATATATATATATATATCACCTAATAACAATATATGTATATGTTGCTATTAGTAATAGCATATATATATGCAAACAAAAAATAAAATTATTACAATTTACAGAACTGATCATAAAGCATAAAGAACCATCATTGTCATTAACTCAGAATTCCCTAACTTAGTAAAATTACTAACTTTTGGAAGAAACAATAAGGAACCCATATAAATTCCAATTCCATTATGTAAACTATTTCTATTGTCACTCAGCATATGTGACAGAACTACCATTCTAAAAGAAATGAAATACATTTCATTGGTGGGATGTCATTTTTTCAATTTAATTAAATCCTTCACTTATCAATTTATATAAATTTGAGTTAATCTTGAATTTCAGTTACTCAATAGTTATTTGAAGAAACAACTTGCTAACGTTCAAATTAAAATAGGTAATCAAGATTTTATATTAAAATTCATTGAATTATACCAATTTCAATGTTTTCAGTAAAAAAGTAAATTGAAATCTTTAGTCACATATGGGATTTAGGTACTAATTCACTTTGGCGAATCACTACAAACTAAAAATGCAATTAAAGTAAATTAAGTTAGGTTTTATTAATATAATAATTACTTTATTGATTGGCATACGTCTATATTATAATAATATTAGCCATTTGCTACAGTAATACATAATAAATTGGGTAATTAGTAGTCACACACATTTAACTTGCCTCTTGAGATGAACAGCTTGGGAAGAAAGGGAACTAAAAGTGAAACAGAAAATTGTATGACATTTAAAGCTATAGAGTTTTGTGGAACATTTTGTCTTTATTACAACTAGAAAACTCCAAACAAAATGGAGAAAACATAAGAAAAGGTCAACATTTAAGTAAAATTGTACTAAAAGCAGTCTATTTATCATATTGTTTTTAACTTACCAGATTGATTTGGACCACACATAGACTATAAGCAAAACTAAAATGAATTATTAAACATATTCATATACTTCCAATGTAATGGAACCAGTGTAAAAATTGAGTTATAAACAGAAGATGTCATTTTTACATAATTTTAGAAGAATCTTTAATGATATATACCTACACACACACTCACACACACATATTCAAATATACTATTTGGTATATTTTAGTTTAAACCATATACTATGTATTTGTAAGGAAATACATTATTTTGCATACTTCTTAACGTTATGCAAGTTACTTAATCTCTTGACCTGTTTATCTTTATTTCTAAAATTGGTGGTAATCATTTCTACCTTATTGGGTTGTTGTTTAGATTAAGTGGGTTACTGCCCACAAATCTGTCTGAACACCTATCCTAACCCTAGGCCTAACTCTTTTTTATTTAGAAAAGTTCACCATATCCATTTGTCAATATTTTCAGCTATAAGGAAAATAGTTTTAAAAACATGAAAATGTAAATATACTCAAGAGTAACTGCTATTAAACAGTTTTCAACAGGCAGAAAATACAGACTTTCCTTTCACAGAAAATGTTAAATCTATAATAGCAGCATCATTTATATACAGAAAAAAGCTGGTTTTGATGTCTGGCTCCTAGCACTTCATGCAGGCTATTCTTTCTCTCTCTCTCTCTCTCTCTCTTTTTTTTTAATAAACAGAAATTGATCCTACCTTTTGAATTAAAAAAAGAAAAGAATTAATCTTAACTAAATTAGTACTTTTCTCTAAGTTTTCTGTACTAATTAGCATACTTTCTTCTATTTGAATTTAACTTATTATTACATAATGGCAAATCATAATGCATATCTGCTTATCTGTATGCCTATGTCAGCAAAACAGAGTTTTATAAATAACAGGAAATTGTAGTATGCTAATCAGCAGATTTAGGTTTACCTTTACAATTATAAAAATGATGTATTCTTTCATATCTATTCTAAAAATCTAAGAACTCTAATTACTTTTATATATGTGAAAGTATATTTCTTATACTAATAATACGCAAGCCATTTCATTAAGTTGTCATGAAAAGATAAACCTGTAATTTTTATCTCAGAGACTGAAATAGGCACTTTTTACTTTATGTATTTCTGAGATAGCAAATATATATGAGATTATATTAATGTTATACGCAGATTTTAGGATTTCTTGGGTTTGTGTTTTTTATTTTTATGTTTATTTATTTATTTATTTTGAGGTGGAGTTTCGCTCTGTCGCCCAGGCTGGAGTGCAATGGCATGATCTCCGCTCACTGCAAGCTCCACCTCCCAGGTTCACGCCATTTTCCTGCCTCAGCCTCCCGAGTAGCTGGGACTACTGGCGCCTACCACCACGCCTGGCTAGTTTTTTGTATTTTTAGTAGAGACGGGGTTTCACCGTGTTAGCCAGGATGGTCTCGATCTCTTGACCCTGTGATCCGCCCAGGTTGGCCTCCCAAAGAGCTGGGAATAAAGGCATGAGCCACTGCGCCTGGCCTGGGTTTTAATTTGGATTTAAGTCTCCTGTAAGGGTGACATTTTCTTTAGGCAGTGTAGCTCTGTCAGGCTACTTAGAATGACATGTTATGAGTAAGACAGACATTATTATTAAACAAATTTTAATTTCTGCAACAGAGATAACCATGATTTGGACAATAATTTCTTAGGGCAAAAACAGTTATGTATTGATGTAACTGCATCTTTAACTAATAGCTGATTTCTTAAACTTAAGAATTCTGGCTTGTAATAAAGTTCTAAAAGTGAATTTTATGTAACCTTGTAACTATTATGTTAGTCTAGATTAATAGGCTTCAGCATTTACAAAATGAATCTATTCTTATAAAATATGCAGAATATTTCTGTGGCCCTTCATAAAACATCCATTCCTTACTTTTCCACGGCATTCAAGGTTCAGAGTATATTTGTGGACTGCTGTTTTTAAAATGAACTCTACAGAGTAGGCAGAGGATCCATACTTTAGGACAGCTGTAACACACAAGGATCCTGCTAGAAGAGTATGAGTTAGGACCAGGTATATTATAGATAGGAACAGGTGTGCTCAATGACAAATCCGTTAAAAGAAATTAGAGGAGTCTTGATTCAGTGAATTGGTCAGAAGTCATATAATTTGATTTTAAATAGTTTATTTCAAGCATATTTTCACTGTTCTTTAGGTGTTTGAACTTAACTTTTTTGGGGGCTTTTTTCTTATAAACATAAATTAATATTAATAATTAGCTACCATTAAAGAAGAGAAATATATAAAGGTTATTAGTCTTCGTTGAATTGTGCCACTGGCATTATTGGGCAGTCTTACAATAAATTTCAAGGGACTATGTAAATCTGTATTAACTAATTATCTTCAATAGGAACAAAGGACCAGGGAGTCAATCTGAACTGTACAATTATTAAACATCTCTGCTAGCATATATGAATAGGAAAGACAACACATAATATAACAAGGGTCAGAAATAACATTTGTGAATTTTCTATATTCTTTAAGATGAAGAATGAGACCAGCAGAAAAGAAAACACATCTGGGGGCAAACAGAATCAATGACCTTCATTAGCTTAAATTTCCAAATGGCCTCAGATAAAAATCTCTGAGCTACTAAAACAAACCACGAAAACAACAAAACCAAAACTTGAACATTTACTTAAGAATTTGAGGCAAACATTTGGTCATAGACTTAAGAGTACATTTAAATCGAAAAAAAATAGTTTTTATAATACAGAAATGTTAATAATATAGAAATATCTAAGAACTAGCATTAGAGTAAACTTATTAAATATTTTCTTTCTTAATCTAGAAGACGGAGAATAATGTGCTATCTCCAGTTTACAATTAACAGTAACATCTTCTCTTTGAAGATGAAAAGACAACTCTTTCAACCAGTAGAAATAAATCACTAGAGACTTTCATAAAGCCATGCCAGATAATTTTCAGTTCCTTGCAACAAGTGTGATTTTGTGTCAAGAATTATAAATATAAGTCCACCTCTCTATTGCCACCTGCCACCTCAACCTTGTGTGGGCTGCAAGTATAGAACTAAGACTCAGCTACTTTTTGAGACTCTGAAGCAGGAGTTTTTAAGGTGAGGTTGGGGATATAATTCCATGGACTGATTTTCAGGGGTCAGTGATCACTATAACATTGTGTACAGAACTGTATGTGCCTCTTCATGAAGCCATTTGCTTTCATCAGATTCTCAAAGTGGCTTAAAACTCAAAAAAGGTTATGGGTGAATATGCTAAGATATCCATACCCCATCTGGTCACTGTAGAATCACATCCAGAATTGATCTCAGACATCTATCACAACAAGATAAACTGAGGCAGTAGGGGAAAGAATATCTGCTGGTGGTTTAGGAATATGAGGCTACAGAACAAAACAGGAGTGGAGAGAGACATTCTTTAGAGTGACAAATGGGAGGAAATGGCAAATTCAGTTGGCACCTGGGTGAAGGACCTATTGGCTCTTAAGAGTGTTGGAGACACATGTAAATCAATGAGCCTGTCATCCTGTCCCACTTCCCAATTATAATATAGGCACTTAGATGTGAGTAACTGATACTATTATTATTTCTTCTATATAAAAAGTTGCTCTTCATTACCTAGAAATTTGATGATATTCATTTATTACCAGTAACATACACATTACTTTGGGGTCTTGTCTTCAATATTAGAAATGAGATAAAGTAACTTTTTAACATTCGTGTGATTGAGCATTGTTACAACCATTGGCAATCATTCATTTACTAGGAGACAGATTTTGAATTCAGTAGCTTTGTGTTCATTTACAACAAATAGGAAAAACATATTTTAAAATTTACCTGCAAGGTTGTCGATTTCTTTCTCCTGTAGCAGACTGACTGCATCATCGTCTCCTTCCAGCATAAGTTCTGTCTCTGCATTCTGGTTCACTATTGCTTGACTTCTGAATGTTTTCTTTGACTTTACTACATCTTCTTCCGTGCCTAATCACAATGAAAATATAATAATTTAGGTTATTATGATTGTTTCTGCTTATAGTAGGTATTATAAATAATTGATTGCTTTATGATAATTATATGCTGCATTTACATATTACTTTACAATTATAGAACATTGTAACCTTCTTTACCTTGTTTGGTTTCCTGTGAGAAACATGGGGTGTGAGGAGCTGTAATCACTGACCCTTATTTTAAAGATGAGGAAACTACATGCATTTTGGAGGAACCCAGCAATTGCTAATGTTAGAGAAAATAACTCTACCACGTCTTAGGATTGGAAGATCCATGTCTTAGGGCTCTAAGATCAGTGTATGTTGCACAAAAGTCTGTACTTCACCCCAAATTTATTTTCTTAAAATCACACTATTTTACATAATCACACTTTGTCTAAATTAGCTAATCAATTGCTAATTAGCTAATTAGCAGATCATTTTTGAAAGTAGATGAGATAGGTATGCAGAAAACAAAAAACCATTCACATGTGAGGGGAAAAATGATTATCATTGGAAAGTTACAGGAAGGCGGAGTTAGAAATTATGGAGACATAAAAGCTTCTTCATAATATCTATTTCTTTAGCAATTAGTGAAATAAATACTGGTTTTTCTGAAATGATAGCCTTATTTTGATATATATAACAACACAAAAAGCTGGCCGGGCGCAGTGGCTCACGCCTGTAATCCCAGCACTTTGGGAGGCCGAGGGGGGCGGATCACGAGGTCAGGAGATGGGGACCATCCTGGCTAATACGGTGAAACCCCGTCTCTACTGAAAATGCAAAAAATTAGTCAGGCGTGGCGGCGGGCCCCTGTAGTCCCAGCTACTTGGGAGGCTGAGGCAGGAGAAAGGCGTGAACCCGGGAGGCGGAGCTTGCAGTGAGCCGAGATCGCGCCACTGCGAGACTCCGTCTCAAAAAACAAACAAACAAACAAACAAACAAACAAACACACAAAAAGCCAAAACCAAAACACATGAAAATAAGCAGAAAAACTGAAATATTGTAAATATTGCAAGATTTAACCTGGCATTAATGTGTAAGTTAGAAATGAATGCATATGAATCCCTCAAGAATTTGACTGCTTAACAAATATTTTCATAGTTACATTCAGACACCTGCTTTGGCAGGTGACAATTAATATAAAATTATCTGAACTGAAGGCAACTTTTATAAATGCATACACCACCCACACCCACACAAACACCACACACATGAAATACTTTTATATCACTTGAAGCTGAAATTCCATTTAGAATAAGGCATTGTAATTTACTGTATTCTGTATTAGGATATAGTCTTCAAGGAGCAGCATTAACTCGGAAAACGTCTTCGTATCTCATTTGGTGTGGTGGATATATTCCTGGAAATGGGAGCCTTATAAATCAGTCCTATACGGTGTCGTATTATATTTTTAGGGGACATTACGGTGTTGAAACATAGACAATGGCTCTCCAAATGATGTCATGCCTTTGGTCGAAAGTTTACAATACTTTTGGTCAATTCACCCAGGCCCATACCATAGAACTTCCAACAGTCCATTACTGCCTACTGATATTTGCTCAACCATTGTGCTGTTGTTGTTTGAGACAGGGTCTTATTCTGTCACCCAGGCTGGAGTACAGCGGCATGATCACAGCTCACTGCAGCATCGACCTCCCAAGCTCAAGCAATCATTCTACCTCAGCTTCCTGAGTAGGTGGGACCACAGACGCATACCACAATGCCTGGCTACATTTGTTTTTGGTAGAGATGGGCTCTTACTATATTCTCAGGCTGGGCTTGAACTCCTGGGCTCAAGTGATCCTCCCACCTTGGCCTCCCAAAGTGCCAGGATTATATGCATAAGCCACTGTGCCCAGCCTCAACCATTTTCTTGCAACTACATCTGGCTGTCATACAACTTGCACTGTAAAATAGTTATCTTTTTTCCTTTTTCTCTTTGCATTTTGCATACTTCTTTTTCTCAGTGAATATAGGCCAATTCTGTTTGCTAAAATATGAAAAAATTGACCCAAAGGCCACCAGAGTAAAAACACATGTTGAGGAACATAGTCACATCACAATACCATTACAGAGTGTCACTGGCTGAGAGGTATACTCTGTCATCCTAGCTCCTACTGGATAACCACATTTACAGCACATGGTTAATACATACCATAAATGTATAAAGTAATAGATTGTTAAATATATATTTTGATAAATACTTCAGAGACAAATAGTATTACAAATCAATGCTACATTGGAGGGGAGGGGAATTAAATGGGTTCCATGTGTATTGTTCTTTCACTGGCCCACAGATAATTATTATTTCTGGAATAAAAGATTGGGGATAGATCACTGAATGCTTCAGAACCTTATCTTAATTCTATTTGATTTTTGGTAATATAAAGCCAGCAAAAGAGTAATCTTCTGAGGGTAGCTATCTTTATAACTTGTTTGCTTCCTGGGCAAACAGAAATACAGAGCTTGCATCATTTGAGAACAAAAGAGGCAAATCCAATGATTAATAATTCAGAAATCTCTCCTGAGGTCTTCTTAGCTGTATTTCTGGACTTTGCCTGAATACTATTAACTGAACATTTCTCTTACTGAGCTAATTGTCTCTTGCTCCTTCTCCTCCTCGTATTTTGGCCAACCATGTACTTTAGCAGAAACCTAGGAATTCATCCTGCATGGTGACTGCCACGGCCCTAGTTCAGGCCATCACTGTTTTTGGTCTAGAGGGTGTCAACAGTTGCCTTACTCACACCACCTTCCATACTTTTGTCAGAGTGATTTTTATAAAACACAAATAAGTTGAGGATATTTTCCTATTAAAATTATTCATTAACTCCTCCCAATCAAGTATACCTAAAGCAAGACTTAGACTGGAGGATAAAATCCAAACTTCTTAGCATGGCTTGCCAAGGCCTTTTATCCTCTCATTACCAGTTCTGTGTTTTCACCACACCCTCCTCAGCAATATTGGACCACTTATAGCTTCCAAAATATGTCATGCTTTCACATACCTCTTTACCCATGCTAATGTTATTCCCTCTGCAGGGTATGTTACTACCTTTCCTCCTTGGCCTGGCTAATTGCTACTTGCCCTTCAAAACTCACTTGCTTCAGCTGTCTTTCCTAACAAACCCTACCGCACATTCACAGCTTACACATAATTCAACTGCACTGTATAGGTGTTACCTATGATGTGTCTGTCCTCTCCACTAGGCTGTAGTCCCATTTCTGTAGCTTCAGTGCCTGGTGCCCAGCAGTTGTGCCACAAACATGTGCTGAACTGAAGTTCAAGTTCACCCCACCACCCTATTCCCTTCTCTGATTTCTTAAGAGCCCTTGTGTGTTCTTTCCCTTACGCTTCCACCATACCTCTTGAACCCTGCTACTGCAGAATTTACAGCTATTGTAACTGCTTGCTTATTTATCTCCACAAAAGCCTCCAAGTTCCTTCATGCCTGGAAACATGTTTTTGTCTTGGTATTCTCAGTACTTAGCACGCTGCCTAGCACAGAGCAAACCCTTAAAAATCCTGAATAAATGTATAAACTCAGACATTACAGTTACCCTTGCCTATTTCAAAAGTCTGAAGTTCCCAGGATATCTTGGAGTCTCAGTGAGTCGCCTTTAGTTTGTGGCAAGCTGGAGAATCTATGTATTTACAGGAAAAAGAACTTGTTTTTTTTAACAATAAAGTCAAAAAAGCCTTTTAAGTGTGGGTAATCTAATAAAGCAAGTTTTTCCTTATATAAAAATCAGGGGCAATCTTTGTCAGTAAAAAAAGCTTTATATTACTTTTGTATTACCAAAATAAATATTTACCAATGAAGAAAATGTAGTCGAAGAAAGGTGAGCTCTGAAATGTATATCAAGCTTTCAATTTTATCCCCTCTGGTTTTAAAGTAGTAAAACAATCATGACTTTAAAAGATATATAGTAAACTAATCCATATCAACACACTAAGCTTGTCATCCTTGTTCAAGTGTTATCAGTTTGCAGCTCAGCAAACTTCCTGATTTTATGGTACTGCACCAAACATTTATCTAAATTAAAGCGTATGAGATCTAAAGGTGCTTTTCAATCACAATATCCTTTATGAATTAGAGTTTCATTCATCAAAATTACAGGCAAAAAGAGGTAAGGTCTCAAAGGGCTGTCTCATTACAAGGCTTGTAAACACTGTCCTTAGGAAGAAAAGGTTTAACACCCAACAAATCAAAATCTGATTGGGAAGATAATTTATTTGAGATCATCTATCTTCAGAAGACTGTTGGACCGAGTGCACTTTTTGGCCTCTTTTAGCCATTCATCAAGAAATTAACAAGCGAATACCACAAACTACCAGAACCCCTTGGATCTGAAAATGTATACTATGTGTAAAGCTGGGTAGGATAGACATATATATGTGCTATGGCCTATGAAAACATTAAAATACCAAAAAATTTAAAAGTTTAAGGAGAAAAAAATGCCACTGAATTATAGCTCAAGGAAGCTAAATCCAAAATCATACTTATGTTATTTTCTATATCATGTGACAACACATGAAAGCACTCTATAGACTGACTTCTGAGTAAATATATAGATATAAAGCTCTGTATATGAAAATGTTATGTAATACAGAATATTGCATTGCACAAATCTAAAGTTCCTTTTTCATAAAATTTCTATTAATAACCAAGAATCCATGTGAAAAAAGGTATATTTTAAAGGTGAAGTAACAGCAGAACTAAAATGTTTCTAGTATTGTTACTATATTCCAGTATTATTGTTACTCTTATTGCGATATTTTAAATTACCATTTTAAAGTTTTATTGTTATTTTAAATAAGCGTTAAGTTAAAATGCAGAAATGACAAACTGGAGACATTAGCTCCTCTTAACGATATCAAAGAATATGTCTACCTGGAATGGCCACACGATCAAGGCAAAGCAATTAGTTCATGTGCTCTTTATGTTCTTTTCTATCGATAAAAATAAACAATTAATGTAAAGAAAA